CATGCTACAGTCAATCTTGCTCTCTTTAATTTGAAGCCTTCCAAGTATCAATTCGATCAACCGATGCCTTGCCTCTGCATTAGAAAACCTGTATTTTGATGTTGTACAAAGCGCAAAACTCGACTCTCACCCCTTTGCCTAGAATAAGCCTTCAAAGTTAGCTTGTAAAACTGTTTCCAATACTTAGCCATTTTTTAGGCAGTTTTCAACTGTCTCCAGCTTCAAAACAAACCCTAAACTTTGAATTTTCATTGAGCCAATTGTGACGACCAAGCTTGCAAAGTAAGCAACCTGAAACTGGAAAAGGACTTAGCCAAAAAATAAGGGTTATTCATAATGATGGAGATTGCTTCTTGTTCAAGCTTATAGAGTGAGCCAAATGGGATCATATCATTCTTCCCTTTTTTATGGAGTAGTCTCTTAAGGTACTAGGGGTTCTAAACCCCAAACCCTAGTTTTAGGGCTATCATGTAATGAATGAATATGTTATGATTTTGGATGAATGTGTTTGTCTAGTTGATTTTAATGCTTCATCTCCTTTGATTGTGCTTGGGTAAGTCATCCTAATATTCCCTACTAGCCTACTTGAGCTTCTATGTTAGGTATGGAGTTTGAGGGTTAAACGGGTATGCGCCATCTGGCACATTAGGTTAGATGATTGAATAGATTCTTGTGGTGGACGAGGCGACCGTTTCCCTGCCACAGGAACGCCTTCCTAGATGGAATTCAGGATGAAACCTCGATGTGGACAGTGGGTAGTACCCATTGAAATGAGCTAAGTTCTTAATGCCCTAGATACGTGGCCTATATCGAGGTGATAATGGGGTAGGTAGGGCATACTCGGAGGTGTGTGGATAATCATGAAGGCTCACGGAAAATAGCACACTCACCACATTGGCTTAATCCAACATGTTTAGTCATTTGCATGATAGACCTAGGCTAGGGCGATAGTACTTCCCCGATGTACCTGCATTTATCCTTGTTTGTCACTTGAATCCTCCAACACAACCCCTTAAACCGGTCAGCTAGATAACAACAACGTGGGAAGTAAGCTAGGGTACCGGGACCCGAGTGAATATGACATTGATTGCCACTACAAGAAAATGTCATTTTAGGTTAAATTTGGCCTAGAATGTGGTAGTTATTAATACGTGCAAACTACTGACAATGACCCGAGTTGTAGTCGCTTTTTGGAAGCTTCCGAAACCATTGCCATACTCCTCAAAGCGTGTGCTTTGATCTGCAAGTATTGCGAGAATCACAGCTTTCCCAAGATTTGACTCCATCATTGAACAAGCTTGAAAAATCCATTAATTTCGCCGCGGCCCACTTGTATCGGTGGAGAGAAGAAGACGCTTGTTGTGGAGTACTAGGGGGATAGGAAGATGGAGAAACCAGATCCACCATCCTCAATTTTCCCGCAGCGCTGTCATCGTCGTTTTTGAAGGAGAGATGCGACTGATTTTGAAGGATCTAGATGGGTGCTTGTTTGTAGCGAAGAAGATGATGGAAGGGGTTCCACGAAGGAGAGTGGAGATGGCAGAAGGATGAGCAAAATGTCATGAGAAAAAGAGGATAGAACCGAGCTGGAATGGATTGGAGAGAAGATTCGTCAGTTATAAAACCAAGGAAGAATTGTTGGGTGAGTTTCATTTATTTTTTCATAAGAAGGTTGGAGTTTCGTTAGAATAAATGGAAATGAGATTGCCCACTCTTTTACTCGTATCTTCACAAATTGGGAACAAAGGGTTTTGTGGGAAGGAAGACCCCCTTTTGCACTTGTTTGGACTTCTGATTAATGATTTTTTAACCCAGGTCTACGACGCTTAATTCTCTTTTTTAATTTATTAGCCTAGGTCTCCTGTTAAAAAAATAACTAAAAATATTCCAACAATAATACATTTTTTTTTTTTTAATATTGATGACATGACAGTGAGCTGGAGCGTTAACCGTTAGTCAACCGCATTGACCATCTAAATCGACGATCAAAACACGCGTCTGGTCAATTGGTATAGTTGAGGTCAGAATAACAATTCTAAAACTATAGAGCAAATTTGATTATGTGGGTATAATTCGGGATAAAATAAGATATTAACCCTTTTTTATATATCTCTACCTTATCATTTCTTGGGAGAAAATCCATTTTATCATACAACAAAATTGAAGTATCCTAAGTACATTGCACCTAGTGTATACCACCCAACATTTTAAAGTATCCTAAGTACCATTAATGTTAGAATGTAGGACTTATTTGTTGTTAGTCAATGTTGTTTTCATACAAATTAAAGCCTTATCCATGAAATCACTGCTACAAAATTGTCAAATCACTACTAATAAGCCTCCATCGAATTGTAAAGACAACAAATAATTAGTTCAGTTTTATGTTTTTGTTTTCCGGCGAGAAAACTTGCGTTGAAATAACTTGATTGCACCTTTGACTTCTTTGGACAACGATCACTAAACATGGTTCACACCTCTTCAAACACAGTTCGAACGAGGGTGTTCGATGTTTACACGACTCTCGAGACAGATCTACATTAAGTTACTCCTACTCCTATGGAGGTTCTGAGAGAGCTCCAAATCTACGACTACTGATAAAAATTTGCAGAGGAAAGATAAGATTGATAAAACTTGACAAGTGGTGTCGAGTGGTGATTTTTTGCGGGGCTCTCCTCTGTCGACTCCTCCTCCTATTTATAGGCCTTGAGATGATAACCGCCGTAGAAACTGTCATAGAGTAACTTCCAAAAAGAACTGCTCCCTGCTTCCTCGGAACGTGGCTGACGTGTCCTTTGAACGTGGGATGAGTAGCCGTTATTTCTCAACTGCCCAGGTACATCTCTTGAAACCGTCGTAGGATCTTGTAGCTTGCCTCATATATCACGGTCATGGACTTCTTTACTCATGTCCATGGCCCTCTTGGGACTTAGTCTCTAGTGATATAATATTTCATCCCCATGTCATTATCCTTCGTGTCCATGGCCCCTCTTGTGAGGCGGCATGGCCTCTCAGAATTATCATATGGCATGGCCTCTTATTTGCACCCATGGACCTCTCAATCATGGACATGGCCTCCCTCATGAAGCAGCAAGTCCTCCCCTATACTTAGAATATTTTCGGTTGTTTGGTTTAGATCATGAGGCGGCATTGCCTCTTTATTCGCGACCATGGACTTCTCATTCATGTCTGTCGCCCTTTCCGTTGGACGGCATTGGCCTCCTCCTACTTAGTATTTTTCACGTGCCCAGGTCCTCTTGTCTCGTGTCCATGGCCGTCACATATGACACGGCCATGGACCTCTTAATCACCCACATGGCCCTATATTCTCATACTTAGAATATTTTTTATCATACCAGGCCTTCCTTGAGAAGGCATGTGTGTCTATATTCTAGATGGACATGTTCTTCTTTGATGAGGCGGCATGTCTTTCTCCGTGAAGCGGCATGTACCTCTTCCAGACTTAGTTAAATTTTCACTCCTTCGGTCTTACGGCATGGCCTCTAGATTTCATACGGACGCAACTCTGTTTGATGAGGCGGCATGTCCCTCTTTAGACTTAGTGGCTTGGGCTAAAAATCAATATCCATAAGGCCCAACTGAAACAACATTAATTGTTATAATGAGTGTGGCCTTATAAACTCAATAATTATCTTGTAACTCAACAATGTGGTACCAGACAAATTTTATGGTGTAAACAGTTTTAAATATGCAATGTTTCAATTCCTCAAATACCCTTTTACTCTCGTTAAGTTATCTCTTATTTTAAATTAATTTTATTGTAAAATATTATAATTAGCACTGGGCTAAATCCCTAAAGAGTTACCGATGGCGATAAGTGACACCCTCAGACAATAAGAGTTTGTTTGGAGCACGGGATTTAGGGTGTGGATTCTAAATCCGTAGATTTTGTCACAAAGTTATGGGGTCGTTTGGAGAATGGGATTTAGGGCGTGGATTCGTTGAATCCATAGATTGTGCAGAAAGTTATGTTTTTTTGTTGCTTTTTATATTGTGGATTTGAGCTTTAGAGATTTCAAATCTCTAAAATCTACGGATATCAAATCTCTCATAATCAGAGAGATTTTATATCTTGATTCGTGAGATTTTTTCCTCCTACTTTTTATCTTTCTTTTATTTATTTATCATATTAAATATATTTATCAACAAATTTTTTAATATTTCTTGAACCACTCTAATTTTTTATTAAGGATAAACATTTTATTTAAATAAAATTATTTTTTTTATGTTCATTGAAGGTTAACAATCACAGTTACCAAACACTAAACATTTTAAAATCTATTTTCAATAATCCGAATAGTTAGAATTTATAGATTGTTGACAATCTATAAATTTAAACTCATATTCTTCAAACGACTCCTAAATATATTTTTCTTGGTGGAAAAGCACTACATCAGTTGATCACATATATGATTAAATACCTAAATTCCATTCAGAAATCTTATAGTCCTATTCCTATAGCCGTAACCTTGGTCAGGAGTCAGGACTCGAACAGTCGAAGAATCCGAAGGTCTCAGTCCTACCTAGTTATGGTCTCGTCAGAAAACTGCAGAAATTTTTTCCACTGCCCTAACAAAATTTCCTTTTCGGACTTTTACTTTGATTTCTTCCCCTTTTCCCCAGGAAAAAGTGACGAGCTTTCAAGTTCAAACTCCCCAATAAATAAGGGGAAAAAAATAGAACAACCAAAAGATTCAAACCCAACTTCATACCACCAGCAGCCAAGGTCGCAACTTTTTTTTCCCCCAATCGATTTGTTTCCATGTATGTTGTTCGCCTACCCTGTTATTGTTTTGCCTTCCTTAGTATTGGGTTTCCCCTGGTTTCAAGCTCCGAGCATTCTATCCCTTCTGGGTCGACAAAATAGTGTCGGGATTCTGATTTCTCGTGTGTTTCGGTTACGTGTTCGAGTAAATACCTGACTGAAAATTTGAACTCCTTGTTTCACCGTCTGTGTCTATCTATCTATCTATCTTCGCCCATCAGGGTTCTTACTTTGTTAATGTCTACTTTTACGTGTCCTGCAGCAGAAGCATTATTGATCGACTAAGATCACAAGTTCGAAAACTGCAATTTCTCTCTGCAATGGGTGGGGTTCTGTGCTGCTTTGATGTCGCTGATAGCGCAACACAAGATGCTAACGTCAACTACAGGGAGCGATCTTCAGAGAAACCCAGCTCCCTTTTCATGGAGGTACATAGACATACATAGAAACCAGTTAGCTAGCTAGGACTGAACTAACATTTGAGTAGTGTAGTGTAGGGTATTGCTAATGTGGAATCTGAGGGGTTGGTTAGCTAGATAGTTTACTTCTGTGCTTCGTGTTGCAGCGTGGAAGCCAAAACAGAATGTCTAGCAAGGAAGAAGGAGTAGAGTTTATTTACCCCTCAAAGGCTACTGCTCCGGACTATTACTTTCCCCCATCAGGTGCAGTGGACGAGTGCCCCATATGCCTTGAAGGTAAGAATTAAGAATTTTGATACACGATTTACCCTTTCTCTTGTAAATTACCTACTTGAATGGTTTGATTAATTTTTCTGGTGGATGTGTTGATTGTATATATATGTTCTGACAGAGTATGATAGCCAGAATCCGAGGACTGACATGCAATGTAAGCATTATTTTCATCTTCCCTGCGTACTGGAGTGGGCGCAGAGAAGTGCAGCATGCCCAATATGCAACAAGGTAACTGTTAATTCTCCAACAGTAACAGTTCCTTATCAAAGTCGTAAGAATCTAGTTTGGTTTAGGCCTAAGCATCCTTATGTACTAGTACTTCATTTGGTTACAAGCACATTGCAGTCACTCATGTTGTTCTCGCTTTTTCATGCACTACAACTGAGAAAGCATAAGCACCTACAACCATTCATAGGATAGGATAGCCAAATTCTTACAGAAGGGCTTCATTCGGAGAACTGTTGTGGATTTTCTCTGGGGAAATAAGCACTTTCTCCCCATTATGCTTCTCTATATGTTATTTGGTTGGGCTTATGCATTTTTCATCACCTGACACTCCTTACGTTACTGTTTCCACAGCAGTTTGTATTTGATGAAGAAAACTGAAGAGAGATCAATACTAATATTCAGCCTACTCAGAGCCATGCCAACTTGTAGAAAAAGAAGCACTTTTCTTCCTCTGGATTCTACACATCAACACTCCGTCATGTTGCTTCCCCACTACAATTTTGGTTCTATTTGTTCATTCAACTTCTGTGGATAAAATCAATCATGTTCCTTTTTTTTTCTTTGTCATAGCCACTTTTTGTCCATATGGAACCAAATAACAGAAAAAAGGGAAATAGGCTAATAAGATAATGTAGGATTGAGTGTGATCGGCAATTGATCCATGTTTTCCAAAGCATCTCCATTCAAACTAACGACTTGATGTCCCAATTGATCAATGATCTGCCCCCCAGATTTCTTGAGGAAGTCCAAAAACAGCTAGCATGTTTTTCGTAAATCAGGAATCAGGCTTTCTTTAAACCCTAAAACAGACCCCAGAGAAATCAATCCATTTCCTGGTAACACATTATTTCCCAGTTTCACTTCATCAACCATAAAAGTATTGATGAATTAATCCTAATTATCCAGAATCTGAAGTGAAACATCAGCAGAATCTCCAAAAGAAGATGAAACAGGAATTGGCTCTAAATTCATAATATACACATACCATTATATGCTTTAGTTACGATCATCACCAGCATAATCTCCAAAAGAAGATCAAACATGAGCAATAAATCAAAATCCGGTTCCTTCCCCAAGTTCCCTTTCACCTCTCCAAGTTGCTTATAAACTACATATAATGCATAAAAACAAGTTCAACATTCATGGTTTAGTGCCCAAAACATACAATTAAAGAGCTAAATAAGCCAACCAAAAGTAGCAGCCTTGGCTAGCCAGTGCATATATAATAAGAGTGCATGGCTGAAAGCCTGATACTGAACTCCTCCTTTGATGTTCCCCCGGCCGAAATCTTAATTCTCAGGCAGCAAAGCAGCCAAGGTTGCAGGAGTAAATGGGTTCCAGAGTGAGGTCAAGGTCATTCCTGCTCGTCCTGCCTTCCGAACCCTGATGATGGTGGTGGTGATGATCTTCATGGTAACTAGTCCCACTGCATAACCAAACAAGATCCGGTGATCGAGGTCGTTTAATTGGTAAGATGAATAACAAGTTTGTGCAAAATGATTAAAACTTACCCAACGCTTAGGCAAGGTAGTGGTGGTGCGTGCTGCGGGAGAAGGAAATGTGAAGGGCTTGGAGCATGCTGGTTTTGGTGTGTCCAGAATGCCTGCTGCTGATGCTGCTGCTGATGTTGATGTTCTGCCACGCCCACCACCTTCTCCTTCTCCTTCTCCTTGATCTGTAACATTGATAAGATGGATGGAACTTGATCAATTTCTCATAATACTCTCTGTTGATGTGGTAATTTGGAAAAGTACGTAAAAATTAACCAACCGACCTGCTTGGCTAGAACATTGTTTTGCTCTTGGATTGCCTTCTCCTGTCAAAAGATATGCAAAAACATTTGTCTTGTCATATTATGTAAGCCCTAGCAACTTTTCCACCAATCAAAATTTCATTGATGTGTGAAACCTAGCCTACAGACGAGACTCGCAATTGGGCAATTAAGTCCTATACCTACCTCATAACATTAAGCAGATGGGCTAATTAATAATGTATCAATAGAAACATCCAACCCGTTTTAGAAGGTGATTGTGCTACTAGACTAGAAGAAAACATTGGGCAATAAGGCAAAATTACTACTTCTTATGACACACAAGTTTCATGTACATATCTAACTATATATTTATATATATATATATGGCTTGCTCACCTTTCTCTGAAGGGTAGAGATGGACTCTTGCATCAGTTGGTTCTGCCATTGAAACCAAGGGAGAATAGATATCTCAGTTAATGATTCTTTTAACTAAACACAACTGATTAATATTTAATGGCATGATATTAATATACACATACTCTTCTGGAGCGAACGTTTTTGAGAGCAGAATCAAGCTGCTGCTCCAAGTTATGTAACTCTTTGGTGCTCATGGTGTCCAGCTCCTCCCCCATATAGTGCCTGCACCAACCATAATAATCCTCGTTTATTTTTGTTCAGAAAAAAAACAAACGAAGAAAAAGGAACCAAACTATGAAATTCCATCTTAGTAGTTTTCTGCAGCTTCATATTAATGAAAACTTAATTGTATATACCTGTGGTTCCTTTCCAGAAGTTCAATTTTGGCCTTCAGCCGGTTGTACTCCACAACCCAGTTCCCCTGCAAATTCTATTTTCATTAACATTTAGAAATACAGTGTATTAATTTAATTAATCATCAGGATTTGGTGAGTAGATAAATAGTCCATAATTGTCTACCTGGGTGTCAAGTTCAGAAGCTACAAGCTGCCTCTCAGCATATGAATACCTCTCATACCGCTCAAGTATCTTCTCCATGCTGTTTCAACACCAACGTACAAATTAATCAAGGCCATTCCAAGTAGGACGGCTAATAAGCAGAGGGGGTCGAGGTTCAACTCGGGACTGTTTGAGTCTCAACTCGTTTACTAACGAGTCACCTTTGAGCTAATTAGTCTTGTTATGTTAAGCTTGTAAGCCTCGCGAGCTGGCTCGACTCAATGACTTGTTAAACTCAATTCGTGAATTGTCTCGTCCCGAGTTCACGAGATGTCTTAGCATTGTGGCTAACCAGCCAACACGACTACCAACTTATGAGCAAATTGATTTATATATTATGAGTTGGTTTGTTGATAATTCATAGATTGTTTAAATTATATATATCATTCAATTGATATATATAAGACCACTTTGAGTATATGAGCAAATATGTCACATAACAATTGAAAAGAGAAATTAAGCATCATAGATTGCTTATATACTAATTACTATGAAACTTTATGAACTAAACAATATGCTATATAAGCACAAGATTCGTTAATCACATATATCTAGCTTGGCGTACAAAAATTATGATATTTAATCTATAAATTATTTTAAAATAAACGCATTGAGATTAAGTTAAATCGGTAATTTGAATGATGAGTCAAGATTTTAATAAACAACTCAACTCGAATTTGATTCATCTATTAACAAACCAAATCTAAACAAGACAAAACTGGACTCCCTCTCCATATTAGCAGAGCCCTAATTCCAAGGAAGAAAGAAAGCAACAGTAGGACACATCAAACGTACAACAAAAACAAAGCAGACACTCTAAAATCTAAACTAAAATGAGTAGAGAGACGAGTCCTCTTGGATGTTGCACCACCGATAAACCCACCGGACAAAAAGAAGCCATCTTTCTACGTACTGTACTTGCTGTAATTAACGAGAAGAAAACCAAGGGACGAAAAAAAAAGGAACATAAAATATGACCCATCAGATCCGTAGACTCGATTAGCTCACACAAATCACCCAAAACCCAGATTTCGCTTTCTTCGTTTTGGTTGAAGAAAACTATTTTATGCATATATTATAGAGTACGTACATGGATCCACATGAATTATAGTTGTAGAGAGAAAGGAAGCTGAAACAATTAGGTAGCTGGTACGGTAACACAAAAGAAAGCAAATGAATCAAGAAATGAATTAGTACCAGGAGTCGGTGGCGTATTCGAAGAGCTTCCCTTTGTGGGAGAAGACGATGAGGGCGACTTCAGCATCGCAGAGAACAGAGATCTCGTGGGCTTTCTTCAGCAGACCGGCTCTCCTCTTTGAGAAAGTCACCTGCCTGTTGATCTTGTTCTCTATCCTTTTCAGCTGCACTCTCCCCCGACCCATTTTTTGCTTTGCTTTTCTCTTCTCTTCTTTTCCCCCTCCGCAACACTTGTATTTCTATTCTAGGACTTAATTAAAGACTGTATATATATATGATGGATGGCTTGTTTTTGCTGTATTTTTTTTCTCAGGTGGGTAGCTGATCTTTGCTCAAAATAACCCAAACAGCCAGACCTCAACAAACCCACAAAAAACCAACACAACCCAGAAAGAAACCAATCTAAATGGTAAAAGCTCTCTCTCTCTGTGTCTATGGCATGGCAGCAGCTACCACAACTCTCTCTCTACCTACACTTACACGGAAACAGAAAGAGAGAGAAGAATTGCCACCTCTACTTGACTTGGTTATAACTAGAATGTGTTTCTGTTTCTGTGTTTTTTTCCTCTCACTCTCTTTTCTGGGTTTCCTTTTTCCTTACCCTCTCTGCTTTGATTGCTAAATGGAGTTCTGCCTAAGACACCATGCACATATATAGAATTGGAAACCCCCCCTGCCCTCAGAGTGAAGAGAGAGAGAAATAGTAGAAACCTAACGGTGGTGGTATTGGTATATGTGAAAAATATTATTCACCGTAATGTAAATAGGTAATGAAGGAAAGATGGGTGGGTGGATTTTTTTTTTGAAGCAATGGGTGGGTGGATGGGAAATGATGAAATGAGAGATGTGGGAATTTAAGGGTTCTTCTTTTTTTATTTTTGGTTTTAAAGAAAAGGGTTTTTCGTGGTTTGAGGATGCGTTGTCGAGTTGGGATTGGATGGGGTTTGTACTGTACTGTACTGTCCCCTTCTTTTGTTCCTGTCTGTCTACACTTGGGCTGGCCCTCTGGTTGCTTGCTCTGTAACCAGTAACAACCACACTCTTCTCTTTTCCTTTCTTTTCTTTTCTTTATTTTTTTTCTCAACCTACCCCCCATTTTCCGCTGCTTTAGATTTAGGGGGTTGGGTTTGCTCTCTTATTTAATGCTCACATTTCGTTCGGGAAGGCAAACCAAGTAGGGGTGGTCCGGAAGTTGCTATTATTTTTATGGGATTGTTATATTTAGCGCTAGGGGTGGGCATTGGGTGGGTCGGGTGGATTTTGACCATAAAATGCACTCATCCGCGCTTAAACGGATTGATAATTTTTAACCCACCACCCACCCACATTTAGTCTCGGGTTGGGTCGGGCGGATGGTGGATGATTTGGGTGGGTTTGTGGGTTCACCCACATCACAATGTATATAATATAAAGGAGTCAACTTGACATGATAATAGGTGAAGAGAGTTATCTGGGGAAACAAGAAGATGAAATAGGGCGAAAAATATCGAATTAGTTCTTAAAATGGATAGAAATTCTATTATGAAAGAGTTTTCTACGGATTGAGATGATTATCAGGTGCAAGGAACTAAGAAAAATAATTTCACAAAGGAAAAAGCAGTGATCTAGGCACAAGAATTAGAGGGAAAAATAAAGGGAAGAAGAGGGGATCGCTATTTGGAAGGTTGGCTTTGAGGTTCAAACTCCAGGAGCAGTCCTAGTTTATGTCTAACATCTCCACTCTCCCCTCTCTAGCGCCGACGACTTTGATCTTTTTGTTGTTGGGTTGAGCGGGTCACCCGCGCATCCACCCACAACCCACCCACCACCCGGCGGATGGCTCCCAGCACAACCCGTCACCCATCCATAGACCCACCCACTTAACGAAATTCGGGTCAAATGCGGGTGGGTCGGCCCAAACCCGCGGATGATCCGCCCGCATGCCCAGCCCTACTTAGCGCAGCAAATAAGCCATTTGAGTTTAAATTTTATATAGTTTGGGTTCGCCTTGTTAATAAACTAGTCAAATTCGATCTCGGTAGCTTGATTGAGAAAGTTTTTGCTTGTGTTTGACTTTAGTTCGATGGAGCTCGGTTCATTAATAAGCTCTTGAGCTCTACTCGAGATTGCCTCATTAATTACCCACCGAGATTATCGATTATCCTATCATTTTTCATAAATTTTAATTATTCTGATAATGTTATCATAGAGTAAGTACTAAGTACTATATGAGCTATTTATTGTACATAATTGCTCTTTTAATAGTAACTAGTATTAAATTGGCTCACAATCTTGCGAGCCAAACAAGATTTAGTTCAAACTCGACTCGTTTTTTTTTTAATTAAACGCCGAACCTCTCGTAAGCAATTTGAGTCATCTGCACCCCAATCATAATACATCAAAACATATCAATATATATATATATATACAAGAGTGCTAATTCGAGGTTTGCCAGCTTAGACACCAAGAAGCATAACTTCTTTTGCGGAGGGGTATTTTTGGCAAAATACCTACTTATGCTCCGAGCCTCACTTGGTTATTTATTCGGCTGGTTAGTTAAGCCCATTATTATTTTGACAAAATTCATCGAACTCCCAAAAAGATTTGTATTGCATTAAGTATTTAACACAGAACACAAACAAATAATGGCCAATTGATAATAGCGGAGCCAGAGAACATTGAGACAAAAAAAAAACTCAAATAGTATCCAAAATGACATACAGCTCAACAACAGTAGAACAATACCAAAATGAACAACCCTGCCTCTAATATCCAGAGGTCATGTGAGATATTTGACCAGTGGATTGTGTTGTTATTTGATCTTGAACAACATATGAATCTGTTGATGGTCGAGATTCAAAATATTCTTGGACTTTTTTAAATCTACTTCTACTTCATTCGTTTTAACTTGATTTTTTTTAAAGGATAAAAGCACAAAAATAGTTAAACCTTTAAAGTAGTGGACAAAATTAGCCAAAACTATTTGAAATTCCATAAAATAGCCGAAATTTTCAATAGGTCAGACAAATACAGCTATCGGTTAGTTTCACCATGAAATATGTTGAGATGGCTAACAAAATTTGTATGAGGATGTGCTTCTGTTATGTGAGATGGAGATAATATTTTTTTTACCTTGGCTTAGAAATTTGGCAAAATACATATGTGTAGCCAAAACTTTCCCGTTTGTGACAATAATAGCCACATTTCGAGAAATACCACTTATAGCCATAATTTTAAAAGTTTCATGACAAATATAACAATTTCCGTTACAAACTTTAACGGTGTTAGAGACTCCGTCAATTAAGTTAACGTTTGGCTGACTAGGATGCCAAATCATTGCACACATCAGCGACAAGTCATCATATCATTGCCATGTCATTTTGAGTTATAATAAGAATTACTTTTTAAAATTAAAAAATATAAATTATTTTTTTTCTAATTTTCTCTAGTCCTCGCCTCGAATTTCATCATCGCCGCACCAACCGAGCGACACTCCCATGTCGCAAAACCTTGAAGATTTGAATCCGAGGGTTTCAATGGTGGCGGTATCTGAGGGATTTGACTTGAGCGTTCTGGGTTTCCCCATCGGCCCACAGTCTTTGCTCTCTCCTCCGCGGCACTCTGACCACTTCCATTCCATGACCCCAAAATCGCGCACAAATCTTGTGTCCTCCTCTCCCTCAATCGAAAAACTAGGGAGATTATTTGAAGAAGAAATTGAAATCGCCGGCAAACGAAGCTCAGTCTCAGCTTCAATCGTCACTCTATCCCACCTTAAATTTGCGCTTAATCCCTGAAACATCTGAGTCTTCTTCTCGCAATCCCAGTTTTGAGGCGAGATCGAGAGCCAAGAGAGACCGAGTTTCAGCGAAATTATAGATGCGGGTCTAGGCTTTTGGAGGTGTTCGTCGCCTTGGGAGTAACAGAGTCTCCCCAATGCCCTGCATCGTCGTCGGATAAGTGAAGTTGCTTCATCGTCGTTTCCGCGGCAGTACTAATTAACCCACAACGGCCGCCAACCGCGTCTCTTCCTCTGCCGCCGAGAATGCCATCTTTGACAGTGGTTTCTAGATCTAGGACTTGCCCACCAAAGAAGCTTGGAAGAGAGAAAGAGAGACAAATAGATAGAAGCACAGGGGATGAGGAGAAGCGAGAAACGGATTTGGAGAGATCAACAGAGGAAGGAGTATCAGATCTGGTACTTCTAGCTATTGTGGAAGTAGCTTCTTTTAGTCCATGTCGATGCTCTCGAAAGCTATCGCCTCTGATTCCTTCCTCAAGAACGACCCCCAGTCGCCATTCTACTTACCCTTTGCTCGCTTGCGTAAGACTTCAATAGAGGAAATGGTGGTGTTCACGAAGAGGAGAGGGAAGTTGAGTAGTTCACTGTCTACGCTTTTGCTCACTTGGGGAGGAGCAGGGGAAGAAGACAATGATTGTCTTCCTTTTCATTTTTTGCATTTTTCAGTTAAGGCAAAATACACTTGTATAGCCAAAACTTTTGTACTTGTGCCAATAATAGCCAAATTTGGAGAAATACCACTTATAGCCAGAATTTTGAAACTTTTGTGCCAAATATAGCCATTTCCGTTACAAACTTTAACGGTGTTAAAGATTCCGTCAGTTAATTTAACGTTAGGCTGACTAGGACGCCAAATCATCGCACACGTCAGCGACAAATCAGCCACATTCGCCACATAGGTGACACGTCATATTTTTAATTTAAAAACAAACCAAAAATTCATATATTAATCATAAAGAAAGAAAGGAAAATTAAAAAAAAAACAAATGAAGGAAAATCGTTTCTCCCCTATCGCAAACCACTCCGCCATTCCCCTCACAATCGGAATACACCTTCCTCCGCCGCCACCAGTCCTCACCTAAATCCACCCAAGCTCCTGAATCTCGAAACCCCTACAGCTCCGATATCGCTTGTCTGTCCGCCGGCAGAGGAGTTGGAGCAGCCGACGGAAGGAGTTGGAGCAGCCACCGCTAGGGGAAGAAGATGGATCTGCGAGGAGTTGGAGCAGCCACTGCTAGGCTTTGGATTTTGCACGGCGGTCCCCGAGGAAGAGGCAACGACGAGGATGCGCACTACTTGTCCCCTTGGACATTTAGGGTTTAGAATTTACATCACTGAATATCTAATTAGTGGTCATTTAGGTCATAAATGGTCACCTCAATTACCCTTAATATGGGATAATAATTGGCCAATTAAGGTATGAATAGACTTAATGAAAGTAGGAATTAAGGTATTATTAATGAAATTTGAGTGTTGATTGTTCATATCTCAATTTTGGAATTAGTTAACCTAGAAAGAGGAAATCCTCTTTAGCCCAATCTTTGGCCATTTGGGTAAACTTCTCTATGGCAATCCAGGCCATCCATCGAATTAGTTCCATGATTTTTTCTTGATTGGTTTCTTTTTACTGTTCCGCATTATCTTCCCAGGGAGTGATTTTACAATTCTTGGTTTATTGATTAAGAGGCTTAGGGCTTCCTAGGGGACAGGATACGGTGATTAAGTAATCACCGTGGTTACTAAGTGTAAATTGGGTATGAAAAATAAATTGTATTAATTATTTTTTTAATAAAATACGTTTTAGTTAGTTACAAGAATCTATTAATTACAATTCTCTCTCTTTCTCTCACTTCCATAATCTCCAGCCAGATCCCCTTTCTTTATTTTTCTCAATCTTTCTGCAAAAGAAAAAAAATACGA